GGAGCGGGGAGGGAGGGGAAAAATGAGGACCTAATGCCGGGGGCTTAAGTGGAGAGCAAATGTTTTGAGAATGATGAGGGTAATGAATGTACAAATGCGCTTTACACAATTGATGTATATATGGATTGTGATAAGGGTAGTATGAGACCCTAATAAAATGATTAAAAAAAATGGTAACAGCCGAAAAAAAAAAAAAGAAAAAAAATTACGAAGACAGATTGCAGACATTTGTTGTAAAGTGTCTTTCCTGGGTTGAGTCATTTGCCCACGTGGCTTGTTCCTGAAGGGACACCTTTCTAAGTCTAGTGGCTGTTTCCACACAATTGAAAAATATTTACTTTATTTTATTTTTGTACTAATCATTTTATCGGGGGCTCTTACAAATCTTATGACAGTACATCAGTGAATTATATATACATTTTTCAATTAATGATATTAAGTACACTTGTACATACGTTGCCATCAACATTTTCAAAACATTGTCTTTCTCCTAGCGGCCTTGGTATCAGATCTCTTTTTTTCCCTCCCTCCCTATCCTCTCACCCTCGTGAATTCTGGATCAATTATATCTTATTATTGTTACGTTGTATCTTACACTGTCTGTTGTCTCTCTTCACCCACATTTCTGTTATTCATCGTCTTTGGTGGTGGGGGTTGCTATATATCCAACCTTCTGATGGGTTCTCCATTTCTCCCCCTCCCCGCCATCCCTCTACTCTCATGATATCGCTACTCCCACTACTGTTCCTGAGGGTTTTATCTGTCCTGAATTTCACTTGTCGAGAGCTCTTGTCTGTACTGATGTGCCCACATGATTTTTATTTGTACCCTTCTTGGGGATGGTTTAGTTCTGTAAAATGTGGATGCTTAAAATAGACCCGGAAAGATCACATGTGGCTATAGGACTTTCAGATTCTCCCCTCCCCAACATATTATATGCCAAAGTGATTTATAATCTTGAATTCTCACACTGGCAATCCGAAATGATGATGGGGAGGGGTGGACCTTAACTGCTATTTGGCTGAGCTCCACTGGAACCTCCCTTCCAGTGTTCCCAAGACCAATCGCTAAGATTTACTTTCCTTGAAAACCTTCTGGAATCTTGTACTCTTGACTGTGTAGAATCTGGCCTTCAAATTTATGGATTCCTGAGGGGAGGGAGGGATCAGAAAATTAGAAATATCTAGAGCTATAATTTCTCAATATACAGGTTAGAGTTTATGGTGCAATAGGAATCTCAGATATGTGGCAGCACCCCCACCCCAGCTCCCCACCCCCCACCACTAGTAGCAGGCAGTGAAACCAGTATGTGGTCTCCTTTTCTCCTTCGATGCCCAGAGAGAAGTTCAGTCTGGTCTACCTTGGTAAAGCCAGGACCAGAGCAAATTCTGTAGAACATTGAGAAGAATAGGATTCCAGAATACTTACTTGTGCTTATGTGGAATCTCCCCACAGGTCCAGAGACAGTCCTTCAAACTGAACACGAGGCCTCTTCATGATTGAAAATCAGAAAGAAGTGTATTAGGGTTGCATGCTTTCACCATACTTATTCAATCTGTATGCTGAGCTCATAATCCAAGGAGCTGAACTCATTAGATCTTAAGGAAAGATTACTAACAATGTTTCTATGCAGATCACATAACCTTGCTGAAGGTGAAAAGGACGTGAAGCATTTACTGATGAAGAGAAACACTACACCCTTTCCTATGGATTGCTTCTCAACATTCAGAAAACAAAACAAAATAACCTTCTCCCACCCACTCCACTGGGCCAATAAACAGCACCACCATAAATGGAGCAAAGATTGAAATTGTCAAGGGCTTCAAATACTTAAATCTACCATCAAGATTTCATTCTACTTGGAATCAGTAATCAAGAAGCCAGATGATGGGTTGCACTGGGTTTTTCACAAGGCAAATCTATTGCAAACTTTCTTTTTAAAGTGTTAAAGGTCAGGGGGATTCAGTAAATCAAGTAACTAACACAATGAACTTGAATGAGTCATGAAAGAATGTTGAGAACTTCCTTTATCTATAAATTATTCAAATTAAAAAAAAAAAGTGTTAAAGGCAAAATTGTCATTTTGAGGACTAATGTAAGCCTGACCTAAGGCATGATATTGTCAGGTGCCTCATGTGCACTTGAAAGCTGGACAATGAATAGAGAGACTCAAAGAACTGCTGCTCTGCATTGTGGTCTTGGTGAAGAATAGCGACTGCATCCTGGACTGCCAGAAGAACGGACGAAGCTGTCTGGATGGAACACAGCCACAAAGTTATTTTAAAGGAAGAATGGCAAGACTCGTCTCTTGCACTTTGGACATGTCATTGGGATGGGACAGTCCCTGGAGGGAGACATCATGATTGGTCAGGTAGAGGGCTAGCAACGATGGAGAAAGACTTTGCACAAGACGGGCTGACACAGTGGCTGCGGCTGTGGGCTCAGGGATAGCAATGGTTTTGAGGGTGGCCCCGGGTTGGACCGTGTTTCATTTCGTTGTCCATAGGGCTTCTATGGATCAGAACCAACTGGATGGTACTTAACAACAGCTCTGGTGACTGTATCACCTCACTACTATCAAGTCGATTCTGAGCCATAGTGATCCTACTGGACAGAGTATAGTTGCTTCCAAGTCTGGAAACTTTTTGGTGCAGGCTGCCTCATCTTTCTCTGTACTTCCAAGATTCCTTTGGTAAGTAAAACAAATACAAAACAAAAGCAAACTTTCTGCACTGAGTCGATGCTGACTCATATTGACTCTATAGGACACAGTAGCACGGTCCCTGTGGGTTTCCAAGGTTGTAGCCCTTTACAGGAGTGTAGAGCTTCATCTTTCTCCCTCGGGTAAATAGAGAGCAGGTAGGTAAATACATAAATATACATGATTGTTCCCTTTCAAGACCATTACTTAGGGCTACTGACAAACTGACTACAGACAAATAATAACCATCTCAAATGACCCAGAGCACCCAAGGCAAGAAGTATGCCAGTCTTGCAAATTATTTGCAAATACAAACTATAAAAATATGATTTTTATATACCAAGTGTTTACAGACTTAAATTTAATTAAAGATTCCACAGAAGAAATTTTGTGGTACAGCTTCTTGTGAATAAGAGTGATTTATTCTTGTAATACTTGTGCTTTATGTTTATTTTACTTTATACTTTATTATATACTTCATGGTCTGTTAGTGTTATTCTTTATGCTTATTTATACTGTAGTCTTATGCTTTTTATGTTTATGTTTCTGAATGATCTCTTGGGCTCCTGATATTGTGGAGATAACCTAGCCAAACTTAGACTTGAAAGACTTTTAAGTGATCAGCCTGAGAATGCATAACCTGTGTGTATAGCAGGTAATCCCTGATGTACAGGTAATCCCTGATGTACAACATATTTGAATTATGATGAACTGCACTATGGCTGTTTGCTTCTGGCACATGCTGGTTTAAGTAATATGTACTATGTACAAGTTAAAATATAGCTATAAGTTTGTATGTAATGTTTCTAGCCCTCAAAGACCAATCAGATTTATGAAGATAGTGACAATAAAATGCAATAATAATGAAAACTAAGAAAAAAGTATTTAACATAATACAGGCATCATTGGGGCAGGAGTCCACTGTAAATTGAGAAATGTCTCTTTCAAGAACCTATTAAAGCACCAAATAAAAGAGTCAATCTACGGCAAGAGAAGACTAGTATCAGATTGATGCCAACCAACAAAGATCTTTCCTGTCTCTTATCGCTTCACCCCTTCCTCTCCAATACTGAAGAGTCAGAGCCTGCAGTTGGTGAGTGAATCAGGCAGAGGGAGGAGGACCTAGCACCGACAAGAGCAGCCAAGCGCACCGTGATCTTTTCCCGCTGCAGACTCTTAGCCCCCAGGAGGTGCCAGATGAGTGACGGGAAACACATTAACGTGATGCGTAGTTGCTCGTTTTGGTGAGTGCATGAGACAGGGCATGTTAGTTATGGAAAGAAGACTTTTCTGGCGACCTACAGTGATCAAAAGACTTCTTTCATTATTTTAGAGAAAGCCATGGGGACTGTCTGAGGTTATATTCAGAAGGCAGAGAGGACAAGTCTTGTGTGTGTGTGTGTGTGTGTGTGTGTGTGAAATAGTCACAAAACATTTGATGAAGGCCTTATATCCAATGTATATAAAAATAACGACTATAACTTGATATTAAAAAGAGAAACAATCTGATTTCAAAATGGGTAAAAGACTTAAGCAGCCATCTTTTTAAAAAATCATTTTATCGGGGGCTCGTACAACTCCTATCACAATTGAAACATCCATCCATTGTGTCAAGCACATTTGTACATTTGTTGCCATCATCATTCTCAAAAAATTTCTTTTTACTTGAGCCTTGGTATCAGTGCCTCATTTTTACCCCACCATCCCCCACATTCCCTCCCTCAGGAACTCTTGACAATTTATAAATTATTATGTTTTTCATGTCTTACTCTGTCCAATGTCTCCCTCCACCCACTTTTCTGTTGTCTGTCCCCCAGGGAGGGGGTTTATATGTAGATCATTGTGATTGGCTCCCTCTTTCTCCCCCATCTTCCCCTTCCCCTCCTGGTATCACTACCCTCATTGTTGGTCCTGAGGGGATTATCTGTCCTGGATTCCCTGTGTTTCCAGCTCTTGTCTGTGCTCATTTGCATCCTCTGGTCTCACCAGATTTGTAAGGTAGAATTGGGATCATGCTAGTGGGGTGGGGTTGGGGTAGGAAACATTAAAGAACTCAAGGTGATACTGGGAGGGTGGAGTAGAGAGGGGGAACTGATTATAAGGATATACATATAACCTCCTCCCTGGAGGACAGACAACAGAAAAGTGGGTGAAGGGAGACGTCAGACAGAGTAAGATATGACAAAGCAATAATTTATAAATTACCAAGGGTTCATGAGGAAGGGGGGAGTCAGGAGGGGGGGATGAGGAGCTGATGCCAGGGGCTTACATGGAGAGCAAATGTTTTCAGAATGATGAGCATAATGAATGTACAAATGTGCTTTATACAGTTGATGTATGTATGGATTGTGATAAGAGTTGTATGAGCCCCCAATAAAATGATTTAAAAAAAAGAACTCGAGGAAATTTGTATGTTTGATCTGTGCTCTACTGCACCCTGACTGGCTCTTCTCCCCGTGTCCCTTTGGTAAGGGAATGTCCAGTTGCCTATAGATGGGCTTTGGGTCTCCATTCTGCACTCACCCTCATTCACAATGATATGATTTTTTTGTTCTTTGATGCCTGATACCTGATCCTATAGACACCTGGTGATCACACAGACTGGTGTGCTTCTTCCATGTGGGCTTGGTTGCTTCTCAGCTAGATGGCTGCTTGTTTACCTTTAAACCTTTAAGACCCCAGACGCTATATCTTTTGATAGCCGGGCACCATCAGCTTTCTTCACCACATTTGCTTATGCACCCTTTTTTTCAGCGATCATGTCGGGAAGGTGAGTATCATGGAATGCCAGGTTAATAGAACAAAGTGTTCTTGCATAGAGGGAGTACTTGAGTAGAGGCCCAATGTCTATCTGCTACCTTAATACTAAACCTATAAATATATGCACATAGAGCTATGTCCCCATTGTCATATATAAATACATTTACATATACATATGTACATGCCTATATTTAGATCTTTATAAATGCCCTTTGCCTCCTAGTTTCTTTTTCTATTTCCTTTTACTTTCCTCTTGTCCCACTATCATGTTCATCCTTCATTTGGGTTTCAGTAATTCTTCTTGGTTACATTGCCCTTGATCAAGCCCTACCAGGCCTCCTACACCCTCCTGGCCATCGAATTTGGATCATGTCTTGCTCTCTTGTCACTGGGTTTGTTAACACCCACTTCCTTCCCCACCCCCCACCTTCCCCTCTCCCATGTCCCTGAAACTGTCGGTTCCCTATTGTTCTCTCCTCCAGATTGTTTATCCTTCCTATCTTATCTAGATGGACCTGCAGAGATAATATGCACAAAAAACAAGACAGCAAAACAAAGCAACAAAAGAAAAGCAACAACAACAAAAAAGAAAAGCCTATAAATGGTTCAAGTTCTGTTTGTTGACCTTTAGGAATGTTTTCCGGTAGAATCTGATGGGGTGCCACGCCCTGGCCCCTAAGTTTATTT